CACTGTCTCATCAGCCCAGCCAGGCAATTTATAAACTTGATATCCACTATAAAAAGTATCTAGACATTATCTCACATTTCTTTTAGACTAGCATTTGGTTTTCAACAGCAGAGATTTGTATAAACCTTACTGTCTGTCTCTCCGACATTTGCAACATTGTTTCAATCCAGCTGTCCCATAGTAATGAAGTGTCGGGAGTCGGGACGAGACAGACAGGCATGCAGTTTTTCTCAGCCAGACGAAATCATGAATCAGCTGGCATCATTTTTATGGATATATACAAAGAAATGTCAATAGAAAACAGGTAAAACAAAAAGTAATGCCGCTAGTTTGCTATCTTTCCAGCTTCAGTTTGAAGTGATTGTGTTAGCTTTGTTGTTGGCTAGCTCCTCTGAACAACAGTGTCCTGATGAGAGACCACATTTTCTATGCCAGGCGAAATCGTGCATCCTTAGCTCATTGTTATGAATGTATCCAAATAAATGTCACTAGAAAACAGCTTGAACAAATGCAAATGCAGCTACTTTGCTGGTATTCTGGCTGCACTGTTTGACATGAGTTAGCCATAGTTGGCTATCTAGCAAGCAAGGGATAAGAACGTTGCCAGCCACTAGTTTAAGACCATGTTTAGCCATTGTTCTCTCTCTTTCATCTGGTTTTAACAAGAGGTGGTCACGGTTGTTTTATACGGGTATCCTTGATTTATTTGGCTTGGGCTACGGCCAAACAGTAGCCTGTGTTGAGTTTGGTAAAATAAACCAGGAATTCGTAAACTCAAACCTCTGTCTGGACAATTGCTCATTTATGATCTAGCCAGGTCATTAGATTGGCGTCAGAAGTAAAAACATGGATAAAAGTTAGCCAGCTACTAGCAAGCTGACTATCATGGCAGAGCAGCCCAGAGCCAGAAAAGCCTGCATGGGTGGCTGAAATGACTGAACTCATTCGTGCTGTGTCGCTACAGGTGGCACGCAACACATGGTCCCATGGTCTGCTGGGGGTGTGGCCAGCCAGGCCATCTGCGCCGGGATTGCCCCATGTCCCTCAGAGCTCAGGGAAACGGCTTGGGGTACTCATAGACGGGGCGGTGCGGGCCCCTGGCTCTCTTTCCCAACCACCACCTTCGCCAGAAGGAGCCCACCGGCACAGACGGGGGAGCAAGGCTCCACGCCCCCCCAGAAGCAGACGAGTGTAGGCGGATGGAACCTGTTGTTGTGGTGGGTCGGACCTGTGTTGGGGACTTTTGTCATGTCCCTGTCACTGTGGAGGGGGTGCCCAGCTCTGCCCTGGTGGACACTGGGTCCACAGTAACCCTGGTGAGGCTGGATATTGTGCCAGGTTGGACTCAGTTTGAGCCCACAACTGTGCAGCTCCGTATAGTCACAGGTGAGCTGGCACCCATGAAAGGGAAGAGAATAATGACTCTGACAGTAGGAGGCAGGACTGTGCGTCATCCTGTGTGGGTGGCGGCTGTGCAGGACCCTTGTATCCTGGAGTTGGACTTTCTTAGGAGCACAGGCTGTCAGTTAGACCTAAATGGGGGCACACTGAGCTTCCAGGGAGGGCGGCAGTCACCATGGCCCTCACTAATGTCACATTCACACAACACAACAACCCCCTTACACCAACAGTTAAAGCAGCAGAGACTCATGGGTGCCCCCCCTCCCCCACATCTGTGTGTGACTTTTCCCCAGCCGCTCTGTCACCTACGGCTGTGTGTTACATTCCCCCAGCTACCTCCACAACACATCCCTCCGGGAGCCGGGGCCACGCCCCCCCAGCCCAGCTACCTCAGATGGGAGAGGAGAGGACGCTGTCTGCAGTGAGGGAGATATGGGAGAAGAACTGTGTTGGTCTTGACCCCGAGCAGCAGGAACGGTTGTGGCAGTTGCTGTTTGATTTCAGAGACAGCTTGAGTGAGGAAGAGGTGGGTCAGACTCATCTGGTACAGCATGAGATCGACACAGGTGATGCTCGGCTATCAAGATGCGTCCCCGCCGTATCCCGGTGGCAGGCCAGGAGGCGGCAGACAAGGCTGTGTTGGAGATGCAGCGGGCAGACTTCATCGAGCCCTCAGACAGCCCCTGGGCGGCACCAGTCGTCATGGTTCCTAAGAAGCGAGGCAAGCTGAGGTTCTGTGCAGACTACAGGCGGCTGAATGAGGTAACCAGGAAGGACTCATACCCCATACCACGCATTGATGAGTCGCTGGACCTGGTTAGGGGGTCCTCCTGGTTCTCCTCACTAGACCTCCGTAGCGGCTACTGGCAGGTGTCCCTCTCCCCAGAGGCCAGAGCCAAAACTGCGTTATCCACTAACAGAGGACACTGGCAGTTCAAGGTCCTGTGCTTCGGCCTGTGCAACGCTCCAGCTACTTTTGAGCATTTGAGCCGTGAGAGAGAGCTGTGTGCGGAGGATGGGGTCTGTGCCGCTGCTGTGACAACTGCACAGCAAGAATGGGCCCTCTATTCTCATGCTCAGCTCCAACAGTTCCCAGTTGGGGCTCCCATAGAGAGAGTGGGAGTGGATGTAGTTGGGCCGTTCCCCACCACAGACAGTGGAAACCGCTGGGTGCTCACGGCCATGGACTATTTCACAAAATGGCCCGAGGCCTATGCTCTTCCTGACCAGGAGGCAGAGACCATCGTCGACGCCCTGACAGCGGGGATATTCAGCAGGTTTGGAGCTGCGGAGTCCATCCACAGCGACCAAAGAAGAAACTTTGAGAGGCTGGGTATGCACAAGACCTGCACTACTCCTCTCCATCCTCAAAGTGATGGCCTTGTGGAGCGCTTCAACAAAACGCTTGGACAGCAGCTGGCCATCGTCTCTGCCAAAAACCAGCGTGACTGGGACAAGCTCCTGCCCATGGTCCTCATGGCATGCCGCGCCGCTGTCCAAGACTCCACCTCCTGCACACTTGCCCTCCTCATGCTGGTGAGAGAGATCCGCACCCCTGCAGAGATGGCGTTTGGTCGGCCCTCCTGTTCCCGCGGGGCTGGAGTATTCCCGGAGACTCCAGGACCGCCTGGAGACAGCCCACACCTTCGCCAGAGAGCAGCTGGTGAATGCAGGTGTTAGGCAGAAGAGGAACTATGACGTGCACACCGGGGAAGGCACTTTGTGGCTGGGGAGCTGGTCTGGGTCTACAGCCCGCTGAGAAAGAAAGGCAGATGCCCCAAGTTGGACAGCCACTGAGTGGGGCTCTGCAGCGCCCTGGAGAGGGTAGGGAAGGTTGTGTACCGGGTGCAGCCTTCTCCCAGGGGGAGAAAGGTGGCACTGCACCGGGACAGGTTAGCCCCATACAGAGGGGCCTCTTCTCCCCAAACCGCAGGGACCACCACAATTCCCCCCTCTGGCAATGACATTCTCCAAGCACCCACCCCCAGGCGCCGCAGACAAGGCTCCAGACAGCCCACTCACCCAGTCTCCCTCCCGTGTCACCGCATGGTTCCCCGGAGCCACGGACTCTATTCCCCGTTCCCTCATCCTTGTCCCCGATGTCCCTGCCTTCATCCCCTGGGCCCCAGAGGGGCAGCCCCCTGCCACTGACTGAGCCCCCTGTTCCAAATCTGGACACTCTGCAACCATCATGGCCACGCAGGCAAAGGAGACCTCCGGGTCGCTTCAGAGACTTTATTAGTTCCCTCGGGGTTGAGGGACTTTGTGGTGGGGGGGCTGTGTAGCGACCCGCACAGACAGCTGTGTGTTTTGTGTTATGCGGTTCGTTTGTTGTCTTGTACATACCAGTACCCAGTGTTCGTGGGGTCCGACATACCAGTCAACCTGCTATTTGCCAACCACGGGAATGCCTGGAATGTTCTGGTGCCGGGCATCCTGTTGGTAGTGGAGTGTGGGGGGGGGGGGGGGAGCATCGCTAGTTGAAGACCATGCTTAGCCTTTGTTCTTACTCTTTCATCTGGTCTTAACAAGAGGTGGTCACTGTTGTTTTATACAGGTATCCTTGATTTATTTGGCGTGGGCTACGGCCAAACAGTAACCTGTGTTGAGTTTGGTTAATAAACCAGGAACTCAAACCTCTGTCTGGACAATTGCTCATTTATGATCTAGCCAGGTCGTTACAATATCATCCCTCTGTTTGAGCAGGGTGTTTCAGTAGGCTAAACTAGCTAGCTGCATTTGCTAGCTAAGTAAGTGAAATTGAAAGTGAAAAAAAAATGACAAACTCTCTATTTCTCTCTTGCTTCTCCTTCATTTTGGAAGCAATTAATTTGTTCAGAACTGTTCAACTATTGTCTTTCTCTCTCTTTGAGTCAACTACTCACCACATTTTATACACTGCAGAGCTAGCTAGCTGTAGCTTATGCTTTCAGTACTAGATTAATTCTCTGATCCTTTGATTGGGTGGACAACATGTCAGTTCATGCTGCAAGAGCTCTGATAGGCTGGAGGACGTCTGGAAGTTGTCATAATTACTGTATCATGAGCCTCCTAGGTTTTGTATTGAAGTCAATATACCCAGAGGGGACAGAAGCTAGCTGTCCTCCGGCTACACCATGGTGCTACCCTACAGAGTGCTGTTGAGGCTACTGTAGACCTTCTTTGCAAAATAGTGTGTTTTAATCAATTATTTGGTGACATGTGATTATATTTAGTACAGTTTTATCTAAAAAGGATAACTTTTGTAATGTTTTACCATTTTTATGAAATTCACTGAGGATGGTCCTCCCCCTCCCCCTCCCCCTCGGAGGAGGAGCCTCCACTGCATGCTTCTAGCCTCATGCTATGAATATGCATAGCCATCTCGAGACAACTCAGATATAAAGTGTTTTTTCTCAAAATTGCCAGGATGTCACGTGTCCTACTTATATCAGTACAATCTTAACAATTTAAGCATTACGAAACTTATATTCAATGCAATAAACCTCATGTAGCAAATAATACATACATTTGTATTTTATTTTACAAATTCGACACTCATTGATCGCCATAAATAAACTCCTTGCTTGGTGGGCGAAACAATGAAAAAACGCCGCCTGCTGATGTACGTAGCGGTCCTTCCGGGTGAAGCGATGTAGCTCAAGTCTTGTTCGGCTACAGCTGTTTCACCATTAGATTCAACCTGCTAACGGATTACTAAACTATCAGCACAGTATACTTACACCACTGATAACGATTACTTTACACTAGCTAGCTACATATCTTAATTTTAACGACCTATTTGAGTACCGGTAGCTTGTTACCTCTTTAGCCAGCTAGCTAGCGAGCTGGGAGCTAACGCGTGTTACACGTTAGCGAAAATGGTAGTCTGGTGGATGAGACCGGGTGGAAGGCTATGAAATCCAGCTCCTGGTCGGGATAGCTTGGGGGGAAAGCCAGGTAGGCTACCTTGTGTTGCGTGTACTGTCATACTAGTTATCTTTGGTTGATTTATTATTGTGGTTAATTTGAGAATGCATGCCAGAGCAGCTAACTAACGAATCTTCTGTCACGTTAACTGGTTTGGCCATAGTTAGCCGCGCATGCGCCGATGGTAGGCTATAGTAGCTAGCTGGATATTGAAATACAGCAAATGACGTTGTGTAGCTTTTATTATTCTACTAGCCAGCTAACGTTATCCATGCATCCATGTTTTAAAAAAGTTGTCAAGGAAGGTTGTTTGGGTGATGTTGTGTTGGCAGGATGCTGCAGGGACTGTACGGAAGTCTGGATCGGGATAAGCCGCTGATCCGGCTGCCTTTCACGCACTTCGCCGTCGGGACCGTCTTGCTGGCTCTAACCGGTCTAATAGCCTGCCTCGTCATCTCTCTGATGTTCCATTTCGATGAGTCTACCTATACCCACTGTCAGGTGAGTAGTTCACCTCCCTTTCGGTCTGTGTCTTTCTGTCTCTGTATGTCTTGCCTTCCTCTCTCTCTCTGACTCTTCCTAGGGAGGTTTCCCTCACCACTGTCCTTGCTTTTGGGTAGTTAAAGGAAAACTCCTCCCAATAATTTTTGTATTTATTTGTTTTATTAGTCCATGGCTGTTATTGTCCCACAATGTATTACATGTCAGCATTCAAGATACATCACTTTCAAAATACGGAAATATAGCAGGTATGATGCATTTTGCATCATATGATGCTGCGTTCTGCATCAAATGATGCAAAATTCATCATACGGCTCTATTTATGTATTTTAAAAGTTACATCTTGAATGCTAACATGCATTACATTTTGGGACTATATCAACAATGGACTAATGAAACGAATACCAAAATATACTTTTTGGGTGGAATTTTAATTTTAATAAGGGCCTATGTTGCACTTTGATAAATGCAGTATTAGCTTTGCTATATGCAGAATGTGCTACACTACACATGCTACACTACTGGTAATACTGACAATGTGTGTGTATCACTTAATTAAATACAGCATTGTAGAATGTGCTACACTACATACACAAATAACACTCCATTGACTGACCTCTCCTCCTGCTGCCACCACACCAGGTGCCCAACTACCTCCCCTCCATTAGTGTGTCTCTCTGGACTCATTAACTGACCTCTCCTCCTGCTACACCTCCTCTCCACCAGGTGCCCAACTACCTTCCCTCAATCAGTGCGTCTATCAGTCTGGTCCCAGAGCGCTATATCTGGAGGTTCTGTATCGGCCTGCACTCCGCTCCTCGTTTCCTGGTGGCTGCGGCCTACTTCAGCTTCTACCGCGGGCGGTTTGCTAAGAGCTTCCCTGACCTGGCCCTTAGTGGCCTGGCTCTCATAGCTGCCCTGGCTGAGAACGTAGGCCTGCTGTTGCTCACCTATGTGTCCTCTACGGAGACCTACAGTGAGTAGACTGATGCACACAGGCATGCACCATATATACAGTGAGGGGGGAAAAGTATTTGATCCCCTGCTGATTTTGTACGTTTGCCCACTGATAAAGAAATGATCAGTCTATAATTTTAATGTTAGGTTTATTTGAACAGTGAGAGACAGAATAACAACAAAAAAATCCAGAAAAACGCTGTTATGTTATAAATTGATTTGCATTTTAATGAGGGAAATAAGTATTTGACCCCCTCTCAATCAGAAAGATTTCTGGCTCCCAGGTGTCTTTTATACAGGTAACGAGCTGAGATTAGGAGCACACTCTTAAAGGGAGTGCTCCTAATCTCAGCTTGTTACCTGTATAAAAGACACCTGTCCACAGAAGCAAACAAGCAATCAGATTCCAAACTCTCCACCATGGCCAAGACCAAAGAGCTCTCCAAGGATGTCAGGGACAAGATTGTAGACCTACACAAGGCTGGAATGGGCTACAAGACCATCGCCAAGCAGCTTGGTGAGAAGGTGACAACAGTTGGTGCCATTATTCGCAAATGGAAGAAACACAAAATAACTCAATCTCCCTCGGCCTGGGGCTCCATGCAAGATCTCACCTCGTGGAATTGCAATGATCATGAGAACGGTGAGGAATCAGCCCAGAACTACACAGGAGGATCTTGTCAATGATCTCAAGGCAGCTGGGACCATAGTCACCAAGAAAACAAGTGGTACACACTACGCCGTGAATGACTGAAGTCCTGCAGCGCCCGCAAGGTCCCCCTGCTCAAGAAAGCACATATACAGGCCCGTCTGAAGTTTGCCAATGAACATCTGAATGATTCAGAGGAGAACTAGGTGAAAGTGTTGTGGTCAGATGAGACCAAAATCGAGCTCTTTGGCATCAACTCAACTCGCTGTGTTTGGAGGAGGAGGAATGTGGATGGAGGTGGAAACATTATGCTTTGGGGGTGTTTTTCTGCTAAGGGGACAGGACAACTTCACAGCATCAAAGGGACGATGGACGGGGCCATGTACCGTCAAATCTTGGGTGAGAACCTCCTTCCCTCAGCCAGGGCATTGAAAATGGGTCGTGGATGGGTATTCCAGCATGACAATGACCCAAAACACACGGCCAAGGCAACAAAGGAGTGGCTCAAGAAGAAGCACATTAAGGTCCTGGAGTGGCCTAGCCAGTCTCCAGACCTTAATCCCATAGAAAATCTGTGGACGGAGCTGAAGGTTCGAGTTGCCAAACGTCAGCCTCGAAACCTTAATGACTTGGAGAAGATCTGCAAAGAGGAGTGGGACAAAATCCCTCCTGAGATGTGTGCAAACCTGGTGGCCAACTACAAGAAAAGTCTGACCTCTGTGATTGCCAACAAGGGTTTTGCCACCAAGTACTAAATCATGTTTTGCAGAGGGGTCAAATACTTATTTCCCTCATTAAAATACATATCAATTTATAAATTTTTTGACATGCGTTTTTCTGGATTTTTGTTGTTATTCTGTCTCTCACTGTTCAAATAAACCTACCATTAAAATTATAGACTGATCATGTCTTTGTCAGTGGGCAAACGTACAAAATATTTTTTTCCTCACTGTATATACACACACACATGCACCGTACACACACACACGCATGCACCATACATACAAACACAAACTGCTTTGTGCTTTAAGATATGTGTCCTCTACTGAGACCTACAGTGAGTACCGGTAGGTGCACAAGCATGCATCGAACATGCATACACACACACTGCTTTGCATTCCAAGTTAGGACGTGGGACTGATGCACCGTACACATGCATTCATACACCCTTGTGACCAAAGGACGGGTGCATTAATGTAATTTCATTCAGTTTTAGAGTAAGTAACAGATGTAGCTCAATTGGTAGAGCATGGCGCTTGTAACGCCAGGGTAGTGGGTTCGATCCCCGGGACCACCCATACGTAAAAACGTATGCACACATGACTGTAAGTCGCTTTGGATAAAAGCGTCTGCTAAATGGCTTTATATTATTATTATTATTATGTACTGATGTTTTTAGAGTTAAATTCACTGCTGGGTTTGTGTTTGGCAGGTGTTCACAAGAATGGTTTCATCACGTTCACCGCCTGCTCTCTTCTGCACATGCTCATTACCTGCAGACTGTGGCAGGTGATTAAGAAGTTCAGTCTCAACCCCGAGGTAGAGTACACACCCTCATTCCCTCACCTTACCGAGTGTGTGTGTGAGTGCGTGTGTCTGTGTGCATGTTTGTCATTTGTGCTGTATGCCTTCGTATTGCCATTCCTCTTCAGTCCTTGAGTACTAGCGTAATCCTCGTCGTGTTATCCCACTTTGTAAGACTTGTCGTAAATGTCTCAACATCCGACAAAAAAAAAGCTGCTGTTCGTTCTTGTACTTGGAACAGGACCCTTTCTTTTTAAAATATATTTTTGTGAGTGAAAATGCCATTACTGTAGACGTGTGCCGGAGGCTGGGTCATTACTGCTACAGCAGCCGTGCCAGAGAACAGGACCCTTTCTCACCACCCGTGACAGCGTTGAGCTACTGTTACCAGGGCCCCTATTAATAAAGAGTCTAAGATGAATTATGCCTTTTGATCATAATTAATACTATTGGACAGGGAGACCTGATCCTAGATTAGCATTCCTGCTTTGAAATGCTTTTTGAATATCAGAGAGCTCATTATGGCCCTGGCTCGTTATGGACACACACACTGGTCTCTGATAGCCTTTCAACACAAATTGAGCCACAGTTTCAACACCAGCAAACAGGTGTGGAAATTAATTTATAACCACACACAGAACTATGATGGTGTCACCCGAGTTGTGTGTGTGTGTGAGTCCACAGCTTGTTTATTGTTAGTGTGTGGCTTGGTCTGTTCAGAGCAGAGCAGGGGAAGTGGGTTACGCACACTGGAACCAACCCAACTACCCTCACCAGCCTTAGGCACTCTGAACTCTAAATACACTGTTACAACACCACCTGTTATAGCTACATTATAACCGCTCACTGTGTGTCTCTCTGTCTCCATCTCTTTCTCCCTCTCCGTCTCAATCTCTCTTTCTATCTGTCTTGATCTCTCATTCTCTTTCTGCGTCTGTCTGTCGGTCTCTCTCTCTCTCTCTCTCTCTCTCTCTCTCTCTCTCTCTCTCTCTGTCTCTCCCAGGAGTTCACGTCGTTTCGTTGGAAGGTGCGTCTCTTTCTCTTCAATGTCAGCTGTTGTTTGGTCGCCGCCTACTTTTTCAGACGCCACAACAAGTACTGTGAACCAGGAAGTGAGTGTTTGGCTGCATCCGTATTGGAACCCTTTTCCCTATATAGTGTCCTACTTTTGAACAGAGTCCCACCCATTTTTTACTTATGCTCCTCTCAGCTCAGTCAATCAGGTGCTGGTAAAGTCATGTTTCCTAATATACATCACCCTGTAGTAGAGGAAGTTTCAGTCGAAGTTGTCTGTGTTGAGGGTTTTGTTTCTCCATTTCCCTCATATCTTTGTCAACCCCGGCTTTACCAGTAATGATAACACCAATACTACAGTTTGAAAGCTCCGCTCCTTTGACCTCCACCCCAGCTGGTTTCTTACTCCTGTCTCTTCTAGTGTACACATTCTCTCAACTCTTCTGTAACATGCTATGTATATCATCTGTATGAATGTACACTACATGATCAAAAGTATGTGGACACCTGCTCGTCGAACATCTCATTCCGAAATCATGGGCATTAATATGGCGCTGGTCCCCCCTTTGCCGCTATAACAGCCTCCACTCTTCTGGGAAGGCTTTCCACTAGATGTTGGAACATTGCTGTGGGGACTTGCTTCCATTCAGCCACGAGCAATAGTGAGGTCGGGCAGTGATTTTAGGCGATTAAGCCTGGCTCGCAGTCGGCGTTCCAATTCATCCCAAAGGTGTTAGATGGGGTTGAGGTCAGGGCTCTTTACAGGCTAGTGAAGTTCTTCCACACCGATCTCGACAAACCATTTCTGTATGGACCTCGCTTTGTGCACGGGGGCATTGTCATGCTGAAACAGGAAAGGGCCTTCCTCAAACTGTTGCCACAAAGTTGGAAGCACAGAATCATCAATAATGTAATTGTATGCTGTAGCGTTTTGATTTCCCTTCACTGGAACTAAGGGGCCTAGCCCGAACCATGAAAAACAGCCCCAAACCGTTATTCCTCCTCCACCAAACTTTACAGTTGGCACAATGCATTCGGGCAGGTAGCGTCCTCCTGGCATCCGCCAAACCCAGATTCGTCCATCGGACTGCCAGATGGTGAAGCGTGATTTATCACTCCAGACAACGTGTTTTCAGTGCTTCAGAGTCCAATGGCAGCAAGCTTTACACTACTCCAGCCGACGCTTGGCATTGCGCATGGTGATCTTAGGCTTGTGTGCGGCTGCTCAGCCATGGAAACCCAGAACAGTTCTTGTGCTGACGTTGCTTCCAGAGGCCGTTTGGAACTCGGTAGTGAGTGTTCCAACCAAGGAGACTATTTTTACGCGCTACGCGCTTCAGCACTCGCCGGTCCCGTTTGTGTGGCCTACCACTTTGTGGCTGAGCCGTTGTTGCGCCTAGACGTTTCCACTTCACAGTATCAGCACTTTCAGTTGACCGGGGCAGCTCTAGCAGGGCAGAAATTTGACGAACTGACTTGTTGGAAAGGTGGCATCCTATGACGGTGCCACGTTGAAAGTCACTGAGCTCTTCAGTAAGGCCATTCTACTGCCAATGTTTGTCTATGGAGATTGCAAGGCTGTGTGTTCGATTTTATACACCTGTCAGCAACGGGTGTGGCTGAAATAGCCGAATCCACTAATTTGAAGGGGTGTCCACATACTTTTGTTTATACAGTATACCGCTCTCCTTCACTGAGACAAGTGACTCATCTACTCTACTCCCTCCCTCTCTATTTCCCTCTCCCTCCAGTCTACACTCTGTTTGCTCTATGTGAGTACCTGGTGGTGCTCTCCAACATGGCCTTTCACATGACGGCATTCTGGGACTTTGGAAACAAGGAAGTGATGGTCACCACACCAACAGAGGACAAACACTACTGAAGACAGAGTGAGGGAGGACACACCCCTACTCTTCATTCTCTTCATCATGCTGAAAGTCTTGGGAGGTGTGGTCAAGGGTTGGGCGATGTCAACCATTGTCCTATCGTGATTTAAGTAGCAGGTTGACGTTTTATTGTCATGAATCTTGTCCTGGAGGCAGAACTGATCTGTTGCCGCTAGATCGGCCTCCTGCAAAGTTGTCTATATCATAACAAAAATGTGCTTTTTGGTCTTAATTTTAGGTTAGGCATTAGGGTTAGCAGTGTGGTTAAGATTAGGGTTAGGTTTAAAATCAGATTGTATGACTTTGTGACTGTGCCAGCTAGTGACCACTCTGAAGAGCTGCCTCCAGTACATGAGTCATCTCAGTAAATGCCAACCTGCGATTAAGTACCCATATAACATTGTGATATACAATGGCATCACCCCCCTATTCATTGTTGCACCTCCGTCAATCGGTCGCGTCATTGTTATCAACGTTCTACAGACGCCGCAGCCACATTGATGTCAAAGTAGAAAGGGGGCTAATGACTTTGAACGGGAGCGATGACTGTTTCGCCTAAATTACACTATAGTGGATTGTAAGTACGATGACATTGCTAAAGTCGTCAAATATTTAGGAGGAAACAACTTAGCCATCATGTCGTCAAATGTACTTTAGACAGATGGCAATGTTGTTATTAGCTAGCAAAGTTAGTCAAAAATAGCTAGAAATGCTAACTTCAGCCAACTAAAATCCAGTAGTCTCCACTCAGTCTTAGCGAGCTAACATTATACTGCAACTAAAGTAAATCTGACGACATAAAAATTATGACACAAGGTTTTGCTACTAATAATTTACTGTCTTTAGAAATGGCATCATGTTTTCAAGCCACAATAATGCACTTTAGTCCCGTGTAGCTCAGTTGGTAGAGCATGGCGTTTGCAACACCAGGGTTGTGGGTTCGATTCCCACGGGGGGCCAGTATGAAAATGTATGCACTCACTAACTGTAAGTCGCTCTGGATAAAAATAACTAGACCAAATCTTTGTCAGTGCCTATTGAGGATGTATTGAGTAGAATGTTCAGTTTGCCATTAGTCCTAAAACCAACATTCGGAACAATATTGTGACGAAACGTGCAACCCATGAATTGGCCAACCCAAAAAAATATTTTTTAAAGAAAAAAGGTTACACAAATCAATTTTAAAAGGACCGCTATCGTGAGCTCGCTCGCATGCTACAGGAGGGATGAAAGGAATCATGACAAAATATATTTTGGAGCCAAAATATTTTTGGGTTGTTTATTCCTCTCTGTTGGAGCTGTGGCATGGAAGATGTGGTTGTGTGTGCCGACGCGCAAGTGACAACCGCTGGCTGTGCGTCGGGATGGGTTGTAAATACAGAGCACGCAACTGCTGTCCCCAGAACTGCATAATTATTCAATAGGCTTCTATACGTTGTAGGTAGGTTGTAGCCTACATTGCTAATAATAGGCTATGGAAATAGGCCTACTCTATACAACGGTTCTTTCTTAAGCTTTGCTCAGCTGTAAGCTTTCTGTTGACTTCTCATTTGATTTTTCCATCTTGATATTGTGTTGCTCAATTTCACTTGTTGCCTGTAATATTCGTCATTCAAAATAAAGCTGTGATAGAATCGCCTATAGACTTTCACAATTGTTCCCATTTGAAAGCTGCAACGTTAGGACATTAAACACATTCATCTCTCTCCTGACCTGGGTTCAGATACTATTGGAAAACATTTCAAATGCATTTACCCGTGCTTGATTGAGCTTGCCTGGCACAATGGAACAATAGTAGTCGCAAAAGTAAACCCTGTACATCTGGCGCTCTAGTCAGGCTAGAACAAATGATCAAAGTACAGTATTTGATTTCAAATAATATTTGAACCCAGGTCTGGTCTCATGCATAGCTGGAAGTGGAAAAAAATCGGAAATAAAAAGAACATCGGAATTAAAAAAAGCCTTTACTATTCCTTTGTTAGCGGACCTATATAGCCTTCTGTAGCGTGGGATTTCAGACTTTGTCCAGTCTGAAATCTACCCCGAGGTCTTTTTTTAGCTTTCCTCTTACACATTCTGTCGCTATGGTAGGCCAGACGGAGTTGCCCCCATATTGCTTTACACCCTTTTTGCCAAGACAATTCCGTAAGGAGTTGGCAAGAGAGCAGAAAAGACTGGCACTCAGGCTAGAGCAACAGGATCTTTGGGTTAGTTTCATACTTATCATATGTGGTTCGGATTACACATCGTGATGTCAAACCTACTGTACAAGTATGTCAGCTCAACAAAACTGCAGTGGACAGACTCCAAAGATGTTTTGATCGTTTGAAAAGACAGGCTGCATCTCAAATGGCTTCCTACTTCGTATAGTGCATTACTGTTTACCAGGGCTCATATGACTCTGGTCAAAAGTAGCATGCTATGTATGGAATAGGGTGCCATTTGGGGCCCATCATGTGTATACATTGGATTTAGTAGTTCATCTTTTACCATTACAAAAAAAATGCCTCTGCCTCCGATGGGTTCATATATGAAAAGGCTGTCAGTGTCAGCAACCCTGGATGAAGCTCTGACTGTAGACTCACACTTGCCGAGATAATCAGTGATCAAGACGTTGAGATCTCTCCTGGTGGGTGTAGGATGGCAGTTTTATTTTACATTTTAGTCATTTAGCAGACGGTCTTATCCAGAGCGACTTACAGTTAGTGAGTGCATACATTTTTCATACTGGCCCCCCGTGGGAATCGAACCCACAACCCTGGCGTTGCAAGCGCCATGCTCTACCAACTGAGCTACAGGAGGGCCTATAAGCCAATGTCAAAGCTTGCAAGCAAGAGCTGCCCTCTCCCGATTGGCTGTCGTGCCGATCTCTGGTCGCTGGCCGTTAAGTCGTTGTCTCCTTTCAATGCAAAATGACTGGTCGCTGGTAGCTATGTCGCTGATTATCTCGCCAGGTGTGAGTCCCCAATCAGAAAGATGTTGAGGAAACACTGATATCGAGATCTAGAGAACTCAAAGCACAACCTCTGTACTTTAACATTTTAGTAATTTAGCAGACGCTCTTAACCAGAGCAACTTAGTGCATTTATATTAAGATAGCTAGGTGGGACAACCACATACACTGCCTTCAGAAAGTATTCACACCCCTTTACCTTTTCCACATTTTGTTGTGTTACAGCCTGAATTTAAAATTGATAAAATTGAGATTTTGTGTCACTGGCCTACACACAATACCCCATAATGTCAAAGTGGAATTATGTTTTCAGAAATGTTTACAAATTAATTAAATATTAAAAGCTGAAATGTTGAGTCAATTAGTATTCAACCCATTTGATATGGCAAGCCTAAATAAGTTCAGGAGTAAAAAGTTGCTTAAAAGTCACATAAGTTGCATGGACTCACACTGTGTGCAATATATATGATTTTGAATGGCTACATCATCTCTGTACCCCATACATACAATTATCTGTAAGGTCCCTCAGTTGAGCAGTGAATTTCAAACAGATTTAACCACAAAGACAAGGGAGGTTTTCCAATGCCTTGCAAAAAACCCAGACATTGAATATCCCTTTGAGCATGGTGAAGCTATTAATAACACTTTGAATGGTGTATCAATGCACCCAGTCACTACAAAGATACGGGTGTCCTTCCTAACTCAGTTGCCGAAGAGGAAAGAAACCGCTCAGGGATTTCACCATGAGGCCAATGGTGACTTTAAAACAGAGGCTGTGATAGGAGAAAACTGAGGGTGGATCAACAACATTGTAGTTACTCCACAATACTAACCTAATTGACAGAGTGAAAAGAAGGAAGCCTGTACAGAATACAAATATTCCAAAACATGCATCCTGTTTGCAATAAGGCACTAAAGTAAAACTGCAAAAAATGTGTCAAAGAAATTAACTTTATGTCTTGAATACAAAGTGTTTTGTTTGAGGCAAATACAACGCAACGCATCACTGAGTAACACTCTTCATATTTTCAAGCATGGTGGTGGCTACATCATGTTATGGTTATGCTTGTTACCGGCAAGGACTAGGGAGTTTTTTAGGATCAAAAGAAACTGAATAAAGCTAAGCACAGGTAAAATCCTATAGCAAAATCTGGTTCAGTCTGCTTTCCAACAGACACTGGGAGATAAATTCACCTTTCAGCAGGACAATAACCTAAAACACAAGGCCAAATATACACTGGAGTTGCTTACCAAGACGACATTGAATGTTCCTGAGTGGCCTAATTACAGTTTTGACTTAAATCGGCTTGAAAATCCATGGCAAGACTTGAAAAAGGCTGTCTAGCAATGATCAACAACCAACTTGACAGAGCATGAAGAATTTTTTTAATGTGTAAATATTGTACCATCCAGGTGTGCAAAACTCTTAGAGACTTACCCAGAAAGACTCACAGCTGTAATGGCTGGCAAAGGTGATTCTAACGTGTTGACTCGGGTGTGAATACTTATGTAAATTAGATATTTCTGAATTAAATTTTCAATAAATTAGCAAAAAAATCTAAAAACATGTTTTCACTTTGTCATTAGGGGGTATTGTGTGTAGATTGGTGAGGGGAAAAATGAATCCATTATGAATTCAGGCTGTAACACAACAAAATGTGGAGTAAGTCAAGGGGTATGAATACTTTCTGAAGGCACTGTATCAGTCATATTATGGGACCATTTTGTGCTGAATGCTATGATTATATGTACTGTTTGTATGAGTGTGTTATTACTGTGTGTGGGTCAGGGGTTAGACAGTGGGACACGCCACCTCATGGATTACTCAAACAGTTGCCTGCTGTCGCCCACAGTCAATGCCCATATAACCACGGTGTGTTTGCGTGAGTGTGTGTACACTTGTGAACATCACCAGCGCAGTAACAGTATGCTTGAGTGTGTTACAGAAACGAGGGTGACGCAGCATGCGGTTGCCTGGGACAAAGGAACATTATGATTGAACCTGTGAGAGGTGCAGGGAAATACTGAGGGTTGATTTGACTTTCAAATCAGACTGGCTATAGGAAGAGGAAGCAGAGCAGGGAGGGAGGAGGCAGGTAACAGGATGGGCCTGGGTTGGTTATACAGTCAAACTAGAGATGCAGTACAGTGGTGCCATATGTGTGAACCCTCTCAGAGTAAATGTGTTGATCAGGGATCCGGTCCCCCCTGTCCATGTAGTCTTATTGATTGTGATCTAACAAGCTAAACTGATCCTAAATCAGCACTCCTACTCTG